GAGACAGGTGTGGATACAGGAAATCATTTATAGAAAAAAACAAATAGCCTCAAGACAAGTATAAAAAAAGTTAACAAAAACAACAAAATTTCAAACAGATGCCTATTTTCTTGTGCTATTTTGAATTGTAGGGCTGTTTTAAGCTTTCTCCACAAAGCACAAAAATATCGTCTCATTTTCATGACTTCTAAGGTGCATCTATTGGGTGTAATGTCAAAAGAAATGTATTACATTGATCACAGTTAATGAGCCTTTCTCCAGAGTGAATATGCTGGGGATTTTTAAAATGGCTTCTTTTGGTAAACCTCGTCAGTCACGGTCAGTTTTTTTGCAGAATGATCTTGAAAGGCCTCTCTCCAGTGTGAACTCCTATGTGTCTTCAGGTTTCCTTTGACTGTGAAACTCTTTGCACAATGATGGCATATGAAATAGTTCTCCCGAGTGAAATCTCATGTGGGTTTCTTCACATGATTCCACACATATTTCATGTGAATCTTAAGATTTTCTATTTGTGGGATGCTCTTCCCACAGGCTTCTCTCGAGTGTGTTGTTTTCTCACGTGACCATTGAGGCTACCTTTATTCCTGAAACTCTTTCCACACTGAGCACATTTACAGCATTTTTCTGCCGAATGAGTCTTCATGTGGTAATTAAGTCTTACCTTACATATGAAACGCTTTCCACACTGATCACATTTGAAGGGTTTCTTTCCAGTGTGAACCATCTTGTGACATTTGAGGCTAAATTCTGTTGTGAGGCTCTTTCCGCAAAGATCACATGTGAACACATTCTGTCCAGTGTGAATTCTCATGTGGTAATTACGGGAGTATGCATTTGTGAAACTCTTCCCACAATACTTGCAAGAGTAAGGCTTCTCTCCAGTGTGAACTCTCATGTGGACTTTAAGGTTTTGTTTAGCAGGGAAACTCTTTCCACACTGTTCGCATGTATAAGGCTTCACTCCAGTGTGAATGTTCATGTGAGATTGAAGGCTGCTTTTCTGTGTAAAACTCTTTCCACGCTGATGGCAAGTTTTGAGGGCTCCTTGTTGAGCAAAGCTCTTTCCACAATGATGACAGGTGAAAGAGCTGCTAGCTTTGGTTTTCTGAGCTCTTTTTCGTATAGAAACCGTTTTAGTCTGTGTGGATTTTTCACCAGTTATGAAATCATGGTGTTTCTCATACTGATCTGTCTGTTCCATTTCATTCAGATCTTGATTCTCCTCTTTCAGCACTAGCAGGTCTAAAGCAAAAAAAGACAAATACAAGATAACCACAGTTTGAAGCCACAAAGCAAAAGATGTGAAAAGCAACATTAAAGCTTTTAAAGCCGGGACACATCAAGCCAACTTCAAAGAACTATCAGTGTTGAAAGCCGACTGTGTTGTTGATCTGAACCAAAAAGCTGCGCTTGAACACACCGCTGCAAACTAGTGCTGCCTTCACGTGCTATCGGAATTATCATAAATACGAGTTTCCTAATCGGAAATTGGACGTCAGCAGCTATCAATAGTATGTATTCGTCATTCAAAAGGAGAAATCGAAACAAGGGTATACCAGATATACGAAACGTAAATAAAGCAGCGCTTGCTTACCATTTTGAATATCAGTTATGTTGATAACTTTATTCATTTTTAGCCGCTCACGTTGTTATGAATATATTCACATACTTGGGTAAGGTCACGTAACATTAGAACAGTCCTCAGTCTGTGCCGCCTTCATTTACTGGTTTTCATCACTTTCACTTGAATTCTCGGGCACTGACTCGTTCACTAAACTGAACTTCCAATCAGAGTTCTCACTCTCGCCGACGGCCCTGACACCAATTCAATATGCTAAATTGGGCAAACTGCCACCGACCTGGAGGTCTGCTACCTGATCCGAGTCCAACAGGTGGAATACTTTTGGGTTTGGGTCTGGCTTGTAGCTACACTAAAACTGTGTGCAGTAGGCTACGATGCTTTCATAAATGCACGCATACACACATAACTGGACACAGATATCTTTATCTCTTTTATCTCCTTGCACTAGCTACTG